AGAGGGAAGGGAGGTGTGGGCGTGGGACTGGGAGTGCATGGCTGGAAATGAGTTTGCCTCAGCTCTGCCCTGTCTCTTCCTGTGCTAGGGTTGGGTTTGGAAGTGTTGGATGAGCAGAGTGTGTGCCTGTGGGCTGGGGTACTGGACCTACCAAGTCAGGCATCCCCCTGCGTGAGATGAAGGCTTCCACTCCCAGCTCTAATGGGCATTTACAAGTGGACTTGCAATCAGCACTCACCCTCATCAGGAGCCCACTGGGAGGGGATGGGAGTGTTGATGAGAATCAGTGTAAATGCTGGTCAGGTCAGTGCTGCAGGATTAACCACTATGTCACAGGCAGCATGAGAGAGTCTAGGAGAGTATGTCACAAAGCGGGTATAAACCTCCCCCCCGTTCCTGTCCCCACCCCTTCCATGGGCGCTGGAAAGATTCAGGGATAGTAGTTGCCTCGGGTACAATTGGTGGGGGTGTACGATCTATTTGCTGGAAGACATTAAGGGAGGTGCTGGGTGATTATTTTCTAAGAAAGGAGGGGATAAGACAAATAAGCCCAGAAAACCACATTTTTTTTTGCTTTTTTTGGGGGGTGGGTCACACCCAGTGATGCTTAGGGATTACTCCTGGCTCTACACTCAGGAGCTACTCCTGGCAGTGCTTGGGGGACCATATAGGATGCCAAGGATTGAAACCAGGTTGGCCGCATGCAAGGCAAATGCCCTACCTGCTGTACTATCACTCCGGCCACAGGAACCCACTTCTTGAAGGAGCACAGGAACTAAGAGTAGGCATTTCTTCTTTTTGAGTTCCAGGGGCTGGAGCAATAGCACAGTGGGCTGGGCGTTTGCCTTGCATGCAGCCGACCCAGGTTCGATTCCCAGCATCCCATTTGGTCCCCTGAACACCGCCAGGGCTGATTCCTGAGTTCAGAACCAGGAGTAACCCCTATGCATCCCCAGGTGTGACCCAAAAAGAGAAGAAAAAAAAACCCAACTCAGTTCCAGCATTAAATGGTCAAGATAGCTATTCCTTCCAACCTCTATTTCTCCATCTGAAAAATGGGGGAACAGGCAGTGGTAGGGTGGGAATTGGGGGATAGTATCTTAGAGGTGAGTGCCTCACCCTCATGCCCAAGGCCCCAAGTTTGATCCCGTCTTGCCTAGCTGCCTAGTACTGCCCAGCACTGCTGAGCCCTAGGCTTATGATTATCACCAGGAGTGACCCCCAGGCCTCCTGAGCATTACTTGGGAGACATAAAATAAAGGAAAAAAAAAATAAAGACCATGAGTCATGGTGCCTACTACCTGCTGTGCTCTGGTCACCTCACCTTGCTCAGCAGCCCCCAGGCCCTGGCTTGCATCTGGAGAGTCATACAGACCTTCAGGGGGAATAACTCTGACTCTGTCTCCAGTGTCTAGGTGGGAAGACAAGCCCATGTGAGACTGGGAATTCTGGGATTTTTTTTCTATTTGTTTATTTGGGTGGCCACACCCTGCCATGCTTGGGGCTTCCTCTTGGCTCTGCACTCAGGGATCACAGGGAACTTTGAGAAGGCTTCAAAGGAGGAATTGGAAGCTGATGTCTCCACCCTCACCCTTGCCTTCTCCCCCTGGCAGAAGCATCACAAAAGTGGCATTTGCTAAGACCCTGGTACCATGAGACCCTCTGAAACCCAGGGACTTGAACCACACTCAACCCACCTCCCTTTTTTTTTTTTTTATCTCTTTTCCAGTGCCAGGGATCAAATCCAGGCCCTCCTATATGCAAGGCAAGTGTTCTACCACTGAGTGATATCTTAGCCCCAAAGTCACCTCCCTATTTTGGACCCTCCCATATGTCCCCTGCGTCCATGTGGGCTCTCCAAGCTTGGTTCCTGGGCGCTGGAGTGAAGGAGCTTGAGGACGAGTTTGTCTGTTCCACCACCACCCCCAACTTTCATGTAAGCGCTGTGACTTAAGAAGTTATTCATATTGGGTTTTAGATATACAATGTCCCATCATTAGTCCCATCTCTAGAACCCCCAAGTTCCTGCTCCTGCCCTCCCACCCCAGTCTGCCATCTTGACAGGCACCTTTTTAAAAAAATTTTTTTGTTGATTGAATCACCCTGAGAACAGTTACAAAGCTTTCAGGTTTAAGTCTCGGTCATACAGTGATCAAACACCCATCCTTTCACCAGTGCACATTTTCCACCACCAAGAACCCCAGTATACGCCCATCCCACCCTGCCCCCTGCCTATATGGTAGATGATTTCCACTTTACTCTCTCTCTACTTTGATTACATTCAATATTTTGAAAAAAGACCCACCATTATTATTTGGAAATTTCCTCCAACAATCAGACCTGCCGAAAAGACATCATTAGATAATTTGTTTTCTGTTGCTGATTATAAAGAGCATATGGTGTCATATTGAGGCCACATGATTTTGGATTTCTCGTATTTTAGTAATTAAGTCTGAAGGGATTTCTGCCCAAAGCCGCTACATTCCGAGATTGGTTTGTGTGCCTCTGGGATCATGGCCGTTCAGGAGCTCCATAAGCAGCCAGAGGAGTTGTTCGTGGGTGGCAGCTTGGGGTCTCGTGGGGGCGGGGTAGAAGCTCTGGTTCCACCCCCCATCTTGTGAGGCCCCACATGTCTTGTCACTGCAGGCTCGTACCTTGACAGGCACCTTTTTCAGTTTGGTTATTGAAGCTTGGGTCTCATGATTTCAGTGTCGTTGACTCTCTGTTTGTACATTTAGTTCTAGCATTCCTTAACACCACCCGTGTACTTTGACCCTTGCCCGCTATCCCCACTATCCCCATACTAACTTGTTGTCCTTCCTTGTCCTCCCTATACTTTGAGGCCAAAGGTGATCTGGGCATCGATCGCCTCTTTAAACAAGTTTTCCCCAAGCCTCTTTGTTCCTATCTGCTTGTACTTGGTTCTCGGACCACCCTGAGTGTTCATACAGACCTGGCAACCCTTACTCTGCCCCTGGCCCTTGTGCCTAGGCGCAGAGCCTCATCTTCCTCGCTGGGAAGTGGGCCAGGCTGGGTTCCTGAGGACACCAAATATTGACATTCTGGAAAGCCCGTTGGTGTCTCTAGAGTTGGAATGGCCCAATTTGGAGGCCACTGCTCGTCTTACTAGCTGCCTGACTTTGTGCAGGATTTCCGGGGCCTCAGTTTCTGTGGTAAGTCAGGCAGTGTTGCATTTATTTTGGGAACTTCCTTCCCATGCCTTTTGATAAGCATCTATCCTGGAACTATGATACGATTTTGCATGCCTGAACTTGGGTTCAAACCCTAGCATTGGAAAGTGAAAAAATAAAAAGTTGAGCTGACTGAGTATTTGTTGAGTAGCTGCTCTGTGACAGCAGTCCTACAACCCAGGAACAAAAGAACACAGCAATTTGTGGGGAGCAGGGGAGTAGGAGAGCACCTCGCTGCTTAAACTGTGGGCCACGAACCTGTTGGAGCACATGGCAGAATGAGAGTTGTGAAAACTTGGTTTTCCTGGGGCCAGAGAAATGGTATAGCGGGTAGGGCTCTTGTCTTGGACGCAGCTGGTGCAGGTTTGATCCCTGGCACCCTATGTGATCCCCTAAGCCCTCCAGGACTGATTCCTGAGCACAGAGCCGGGAATAACCCCAGAGCACTGCCCAGTATGGCCTCAAAACAAAACAAAACAAAATAAATGTCTTCTTTATTCTGGGCTTGGGAAATACTTGATTGTTCGTCCTTCTCTCTCCTACAAAAGTACACATTTCAGGTTGAAATGTAGTTGAAATCTCCAAAATGGAGAATGTGTCAAATTGTACACTTATGTTTTCTACCCCAGTCTCATAAGAAATTTTCAGGCATGAAACAAGTTTAAGCAACCCTGGGAAGTGGGGGGTGGGGGGGTTGCCCACAGGACAATAGAGGGATCAAGACCTTGCTGAGGAGACAACACTCGAGATGAATAAGTCAGGGACAAATGTCCAGGAAGAGTGAGCCCAAGAGCCTGAACACAAGAACCGTGTTGGCTTCGAAGGAAAGGGAGTCACGTGAACAGAGCCAGGCCTTGAGGAGGGTCACGGCTAAGGGGTCCCAGGGCCCTGAGCATGGAGTTTTAATGTTAAAGGGCCCAGAAGCTGCTAGAGGAAGTGAAGCAATGGATCTGATCCATGCCTCAGACAGATCACTTGGCTGTGGGGGGATGAGTAGATCCTTGGGGAACAGAAGGGAACTGAAGTCCCACCAGTTCATGGGCCAGAGCATACGCAGCACCTCTGCATGTGCAGGGACCACCACAGCGGGAGAGGCTAGGCTTGAGCACGTCTTGGGCAGTCAGTGTTTTGGTGCTTCTGGGATGGTGAAGAAGAAAGAGAATCAAGACACATTGCTTTGAGTGTTGGAAAATGAAGAATTGAGGCAGAGGGCAGACCCAACTAAGCTCGGGGCTGATTTCTGACTCTGTGCTGGGTTTGAGGGACCACATACAGTGCCCAAGATTGAGCCAGGTCAGCTGAATGCAAGGCCCATACCCTACCTGCTGTCCTGTCTGTCTCTCTGGCCCTCCTGGTGGTTGTAGTTGATGTTGCTGTTTTTGGTTAGGGGTTGGGGGTTTGGGGCTGTTACCCCTGTGGTACTCAGGGCCTACTCCCAGCTTGGTACTTGGGGAGGAGGGTCCTCCTGGCAGTACTGAAGGGGAACTATCCAGCCTGGGCCTTCTGCCTGCAGAGTTGGCACCCAGCCCACTGTGCTGTGTCATGCATTGCCGTGTCTGAGCGGGAGCTGAGGGTGGGGTGGGAAGTGGGGTGTGTCTTATGCTTCCAGTGCTTGGGGAAGCAGCAACCTTTGGCCGGGGGGGGGTTGTGGGGGGGTTTGCTCATCAACCCCAGACTCGTGTCAGAGGCTGGAGAGCTTTGTCTGGAACTTCAGGACAAAGCGGGAGCTTAGCAGGGTATTGGCATTGGGGGCCCCTCAGCCCGCGGTGGCAGCAGCAGGTGGTGACTGGGGTGTATTTGTCTTGGCAGCTGGGATGACAGCAGCTCCGTCAGTAGCGGGATCAGCGACACCATCGACAACCTGAGCACGGATGACATCAACACCAGCTCCTCCATCAGCTCCTATGCCAACACACCTGCCTCGTCCCGCAAAAATCTGGATGTGCAGGTAAGGAACAGGGCCCCGTGTGGGTGAGTGGAACCCGGGGGTCCACTCCCTGCCTTCTCCCAGGTCCTTCATCTCTCTCACTCTGGCCTCTCTCGATAGCAAACAGGGGTCAGGCCATGGGCCACGGGTTGAGGGTCGGGGGAGAAATTGACAGCCCAGGCTGGGAAGGGTGACGCCTTGTCCAGGGCAGGGGAAAAAAAAAAACAGAAAAAAAAATTGTTACTTCCAGTAGACTGGGGTTTTTCAGTGTTATTTGTGGGGGAGGGGGCAGGGGGTACATTCCCAAGCAGTGCTTAGAGAGCCCACTCCCAGCAACATGTGGCCAGCTGGACTGGAAGTTCAGGGTTCGGGCTGGAGGATATGGTGCTTGGTGTATCCCACAATGCCAGGGAACCTGGGACCATTCTGTCAGTGTTCAGGGACCTCCTGGGTCACACCCAGCGAAGCTCAGGAGACTGTATGTCATCTGGTGCATTCCTTGTTACCTCTAGATAGTACCCCTGTACTGACTTTCTGGCCCCACTATAAGATGTTTTAAGAATGAGAGACCATATAGCTTTCATTAGAGTGTATTGTCCTAATGGTTCTGCTTCATTATTTCACTTTTGTTGTTAGTTGCTCACTATGCCTAACTGATAAACTTTAAACTTTACTTTCAGCAATTTTAACTCTTAACTTTGGGCTGGAGTGATAGCACAGCAGGAAGGGCGTTTATCTTGCACACGACTGATCTGGGTTCGATTCTTCTGCCCTTCTCGGAGAGCCCAAGTAGCTACCAAGAGTATCCTGCCTGTATGGCAGAGCCTGGCAAGCTCCCCGTGGCATATTCGATATGCCAAAAACAGTAACAACAAGTCTCACAATGGAGATGTTACTGGTGCCTGCTCGAGCAAAGAGATGAACAGCGGGAGGACAGTATGCTACAGTGCTAAACTTTACTTTAGATATGGATATATTAGAAAAGATATCTACCTAGGGCTTGGGGTCCCAGGGCATATCCCCTGCAGATAGAGGGGTAACCTACTATATACATATTTGAGAGGGAAGATTTAGGTCATACCTAGCAGTACTCAGGGCTTCCTCTGTCTTCTGCACTCAGGAATCACTCCTAATGGTGCTCAGGAGACCTCACGCAATGCCGGGAACTGAATTTGAGTCAACTACGTGCCAGACAAGAGCTTTACCCACCTTCTGTTTGCTCCGACCACTTTTTCCAAATTTGTTTTCAAAACATACCTTACATTTGTTTCCAAAGTTGTTTCATGGAAACACATTCCCTTGCATTCCTCACTACATTCGTTTGTGGTTGGGGGTCAACTCTAAACTCATTTCACAAATACAAAATGAGTTCCTCAGAACTGAGGGACTGGAAGACCGGTCAGTCCTGGTGGTGCCCCTCGCCTCCAGCCCTCCTCACATATGGGTCTTTTGTGGGGGCCGCCTACTCTGGATAGAATATCTCAGAGAACTTGTGGGAGGGTGGAACATCAACTTCCTCCTTCCCCTCCCTGTTCCCCCTTCCTGCCGTTTCTGCTCCTTTGCTCAGCTCATCTCACTCCATCCTGGTCAGTGAAATCTCTTCTTGGAGGCATTGTTTCTCTGAGGACAGGGCTGAGTGTCGCTGTGGCCCACAGAAATAGGCAGATACCTGCTGGTGGGCTACACCAGATGTGACTTGGGGATCACCTAGGACTTGCCCAGTTTTCACTTGAGCTATAATTTCTGACATATGTTGGGGGTGAAACGTGGACTGTGGTGGTTGTAGTTTTGTTTTGTTTCTGTTGTGTTGGGGATCAGACACAGGGTCTTATACATGGAAGCCAATAGCTCTACCCCGGAACCATATCTCTGGTCTTCAGTGATGTATTTATTGTTGTTGTTGTTGTTGTTGTTGTTGTTATTTTGGTTTGGAACCATAGCTGGCAGTGCCCAGGGCTTACTTCTGGCACTGTGCTCAGAGATCATTCTTGGTGGTTCTCAGCGGACCAAATGGGGTGCTATGGATCAAACCCACGTTGACAGTGTGCTAGGTAAATGCCTTCCCTGCTGCATTTTCTTTCTGCTCCCCCCCCCCTTTCTTTCCCTCTCTCTCTCCCGCCCTGTTTTATGTTGTTGTTTGTTTTTGTATTTGGATGCACCTGGCTTACTCAGGGCTTACTCCTCTCTGCTGAGGAATGACTCCTGGGAGTGAGTGCTTGGGGCAGCATATGCAGTGCCAGGGATCCAACAGTGTTTGGCCCCATGCAAGGCCAAATAATGCAGGTACCTTACTCTTGTACTATTATCACCCCCCCACCCCTGTTTATTTATTTATTTGTTTAAGAGGAGACAGGGATATGGCTCAAATTGGTAGAGCATAACACTGGCATGTCGAAGCACTTTACTTGTATTCCCATCATTGCATGTTCCCCACCCTCACTCCAAGGCCCCCTTACCATCATCACTGGGCCCTAGGCACCTCAACGCCAAACCTGAGCACTGAACTGTCAGCCCCTATTATCTGACCAGGCATCTCCAAGAGTAACCCTGAACTCTCCAAGCACTGCTGGGTGTGACCCCCGTAAACCAAAAATATTTATAGAACAGAACAGTAAACTTGAAGCTATAATATGCTTGAGTGATCACTGTCAAAATGGTGATGAGCCTTGAGTTTGGAACACCCAGCCAGCCTGTGTCCTGAACACCTACACTGGCCAGTATCCTGGTGTACCCACCATTTTCCTTTCCTTGGAGACAATTTGGTCTTTTTCCCTGAGACCCCTTTTAATTTTAAGGTAACAGTAATAGCAATGCTGGGGAACCAAGGAAGGGAGTGTGAGGGGGAGAGGAGAGGTTAGTTCATCAGTAAGCTTCCCTTTGCTTCCTGCTAAAAAGATGCATATTGAACAGAAAAAAAACACACTGTTAGAGGGGCTGGAGCGATGCACAGCGGGTAGGGCGTTTGCCTTGCACACGGCCAACCTGGGTTTGATTCCCAGCATCCAGTATGGTCCCCCGAGCACCGCCAGGAGTAATTCCTGAGTGCATGAGCCAGGAGTAACCCCTGTGCATCGCTGGGTGTTACCCAAAAAAAGCACCCTGTTGGAAGAATCCCCTCTCCTTATTTTTGTTTCTTTCCTCTAAAGCTGGGCTTGGAATCTTCTCTTATGCACTGATGCGGAATAAACATCTGCTACTTATGAAAAAAAATGGGCATGGGGTTGGTTTGGGCCACCAAAGTGCTACTTGAGGGTGCCACTCGGAGTTGGTGTGGCGCCATGATTGGGGTTCTGGCATGTAGATGTGTCTGCCAGTCCATCCTGCCATCTCTTTGGCCCAAATGATTTCTTTTTGTTGTTGTGTTTTGTATTGGGCACACTTGGTGGTGCTTAAGCATTATTCCTGACTCTGTGCCCAGGAGTAAGACCTGACAGTGCTTGGGTGTCCATAGGTAGTTCAGGCATCAAACCGGAGTCAACACCTGAAGTCAGGTACCTCAGCCTCTGTACTTCTATGCAGTCGCTATGTAGGATTTCTTAGGGGGATATACCTGGCTCCCTCTGGGTGGCCCCTTCTTCTGACCAGTTCTTTGATTTCAGTTCACAAATGTCACTTATTCATCAGAAACAGTTGGAGACTCAACATACCTCTTTGGTCAAGATCAGAAGGTTAATGTCAAGGGATGTGATATTAAATCTTCATGTTTTTACCCTAAATTACCATCAGTTAAAGTCCTTTAACAAAAACAAAGTCAGGTAGGTCTTGTAGTCGGGTGAATGCAGGCTCACAGCAGAGGCCTCCAGGGTTCCTGGGGAGATGGTCTGAGAGTCAGGGAAGGAGATGGTCTCTGAGAGCCGGGGATAGAGATGATCTCTGACACCTGGGAAGGGAGATTGTCTCTGAGGGGGGAGTTAGTCTCTGAGAGCCAGGGAGGGAGATGATTTCTGAGAGGGAGCGATGATCTCTGGGAGGGGGAGATGACCTCCGAGAGGGGGAAATGGTCTCTGAGAGGGGGAGTTGATCTTTGAGATCCTGTCAGAGGTATCTCTGAGTCCTTGGATCAGTTCCTCACAGCCCCACACTCCCCCATCCCTGGCCACTCTGAGAAACGCTGAGGGCCCTGGAGCCTGTCCCATACCCGTCCAACTCCTATTTCCCTAAGGAAGGGCCAGAACCCAACGTCCTGCAGGGCACGGTGGGCCTGGAAGGAACAGCTCTGTATGTGTATGTATGCTTTCTAGAACCAGGGGAGGACAGTTTGCCTACTTTGGTTGTCACATTTGGTGGTTTGTTTGAGCCACACCCAATGTACTCAGGCCTTACTCTTGGCTCTGCGCTCAGGGATCACTTGTGACAGTATTTGAAAGACCCTACATGGTGTCAGGGATCAAACCAGAGTCATCCTCATGCACCATAAGTGCCCTGCACACTATACTATCTCTCTGGCTGGGAGTCAGGGTCGAGTTCCACTCACTCGGCCGCTTCTGAGGATGAGCTGTTCCACCTTCCCAGCCTCTGCCTCCTCCTGCCTCAGATCCCTGGGCCTCAGCCCCGTCCTGTCCTTTATATGGACATGCTCTTCTTGTGTCTCATTCTTGGTTGTTGCTCAGAATTTTGTTTTGTTTTGTTTTGTTTGGGGGCCACACCCAGCAGTGTTCAGGGCTTACTCATGGCTCTGAGCTCAGCAGTCATTCCTGGCCAGGGCTTGGGGGATCATATGGGGTGCCAAGGATCAAACCATGAGGTTGACCACATGCAACGGTAAGTGCCTTATCTGCTGTAGTGTCTCTCCAGCCCCTCAGAGTAACTTTCTTTCTGCTCCTTCTCCCACTCATCCCAATAACCCAAAGCTGACTGTCTTTATAATATAGTCTATTTTGAGCTTTTATAACAGTTCATCTTAATACTTTGCAGCACTCTGTCTTGAGACAGCGTGTCAGTGGCAGAGGGCTTCCACCAACACACATCTCTCACCTCCACACCACCCATCCCTTCATTGTTCCCTCCTGGGTCTGGAGACT